ATGTAGAAATTGATTGCCTGACAAATTACACATATTTTGCTCAATGACCTCCAAACCTCAACACTTTGCATTGCGCTAATCTCCATCGCTAAAATTTTGTATCTCTATGACATTTCATAGTTGATAGTATACGAACAAGATCACCTATTCATTAACTTTTTTTTTAAAACATTATTCAATGAAATGGAGATGCAATTATAATCCATTACAGCTCTCCTTTCCAAATGTGATGGGCAATCAAAAGCCATGACTCATGAATTGGAACAATACTCTTGCTACTACATCATGAGCAAATCCAAAAATTGGAGCATCTTATTGCCTTCGATCAAGCACTCCTATAATACTTTGTTGCATTCATCCATTGGAATGCCTCCTTCTCAAGCTTTATATGAATGGTAGCCTCCAATTCTTATTTTTATTTGATAGATGGTTAAGGATACAAGATGGGGGACACTTGTCATCATCTAATTATAATAGATATATGTTGAATCATTGATATTGGAATACATATAGATTGTAATAGTGAATTAGAGGAATTAATGAATATGCATACCTCTTATTTTTCATGAAATATTTCTTGGTCTATATTAATTGTTTCTCGTAACATTCTTCCTTCACCATTCTTGTTCTTCCGCCATTAATATGAAATTGCATTCTTAAACATCTAATGACATACTAATCATATTTTTTTGGCCTTTAATTTTTATAACCTACTTAAATTACACCTTGACATTAAGCTCCCTATTCATTTTATTGATAATATGGATATAATCAAATGGCTTGGTTCTCTAAAGAGAATACTTTGATGAAGTATTCTAATGATTAAATATTTTAATAATTGTTTAAAAGAAAATTTATGAATATACTATAGTATTGCTTAATCATTATTAAAAAAAAAATTGTGATCTGCACGCATAATTAACATTCAAAATCATCCTATTTACATATTTAATATCTAAAACTTACTATTTACTTAAATACTCTATTAATTTCTTCACATATAGGTTGCTCCAAAAACCCTTAACAACCAGAAAAGGAAGCAAGCCGTGATGGCAACGACGATGAGCAAGATGAAAGTCACAATGGGATCTCATGATAAAGGACATTGATGGGACCAGCAACATGTGAAGGATAAAGAATAGGTGAGTAAGTTACGATTATCTTATTGAGAAAGGGCATCCACATGATCTTCAGATGTACCAAGAACAAAGAGGTGGAGAAGTGGTTATGGGTCTCATTGGCGAACATTTTTGACAAGACTAGCAGCACATAAAAGACAAAGATGAGTTCGATCAAAGAAATGAAAAAGACAGGATGAGAGGGTTTTCTTTAATATTAACAAAAAAATTTGAATCTTATGCGAGTAAATAATAAATCTTAGACGGTAAATATGCTAATATGATTACTCTAATCGTCATGTAAATCCAACAAAAAATTAAATTAAATTGTTTTTCTACTACTTTGCTTGCTAGATAGATTGTATGTAAATCAACAACTGTTTCAATAAATGATTTGATGGATTAAATGTTTACTTACTGCTTCGCTTGCTCGATTCAAATCTACAGTAATTTAAGGACCATCTAAGCCGATCCCGCCAAAAGATCGCCGAACTTTCAAACTCAGCAACAGCCAACAAATCATTTGGGTTTCCCTGTCCAATCAACAGGGCATTTCTACTTCTTCGCTCTAGGGCATCAAGATCCGGCAGATCTCCGCCGTAGATTGCAATCAGCTAGGTATCTATCTGCGAGAGGCATCGGAGATGGGGAAGGGAACTGAACAGCAAACAGGGCACCAAGAATGGAAAGATCTGGAATCGTCGCTACGGATCGGGAATCGGCGCGGTGGGAGGACGATAGCGCGGTTGCGGGTCCCGTTTCGGCGAGATCTGAGATCTGGAGTCGGCCTGGCTTGATCTGGGCACGAAGCTGGAACATGTGGGGATTTCGCGTGAAGATTTGGACGGATATGGGAACGGTGATATCTGGGGACGATGAGAATATTTAATAGCAGTTTTATGTAGAAAATAGTTTCAACTAATATAAATCACCTATTTGAGATTTTTCATATTAAAAATATGTATGAGTTTGTATTTAAATTTGCTAAATATATTAAGAAATAAAGAAATTTTATAATTTTTTTTGGTAGAAATCCGACAAGTAAATTCATTAGCATTATTTATTATGTAATTTTTATATTGTGGTTGTTTAAAACTTATTATCATCAACAAAAACTATGGTAATAAATGTACATTTTTTTATCATTATGAAATTCTTATTAGCTTTATATCTGATACGTCTTTAAAAATCAACTTGATCGAGCATGAATGTTGATGCACATTTGAAGTATTTTTCTAAAAATTATTAAATTTATGATCATCTGAACTCCAATTTCAACAAATTTATAGTTGAACTATTTGACGAGTTGAACCTAATGAAACCATGAACTCAAATCAAACACTTGAAGCACAATAGAAAACTTTGGATTATTAATTTCATGACCATAAAATCTTAAAATAGTGCATGCTTATAGCTAGATAGAGCGCCTTGCCGAGAAGAATCCAATAAGCCCAATATTGCTTAATTCTGACATTCCCGAGGCACTTAAATTATAAAGGAATGATTTATGATAGTAGCAATCAGCACGAGCCATCAAATGGAGTGTTTTAAATTTTGACTATATTTATAATACATGTCACTAAAAAAATAATAAATAGTCACCTAATCTCTATATGATTGGGGATGAATTTGGATTTAGATCCAAGTGAGCTCATAAGCTCTAAGTGTAATAAACCAAACTCTAACTATCGATATATTATCCGTTTTGGCCTAAGAGCTTTACAATTTTGTCATGTTGGTGTAACTTCTCAATAGGTCACCTATCCCAGCTTTGCTCCGGGATGAGCACGCTTAACTGAAAAGTTTATTACGGAAATTCTAACCATTACACCAAAAGGCACCTCGATATTTAAGAGTTGGCTTTCTTTTATTTAAGAGGTTTCACAATCTCTCATACTTAAGTAATTGATGTCATAGTCAGTATTTGTATCCCATAATCATCTACCAAGTATATCGGACTCTATAGATGGCCCCTATAAGTTCAAATGGTGGCTCCCTTCATGTAGCATTTTGTCCCATATAGGGTTCAAGAGGTGGCTCCCATGGCATATCACTTTGTCTTGTATGACACTTAGCTTCCATCTTTCGGTTGGTGTATTGCTCTAATACCGTTTATAATAGACCAAACTCTTAACTATCGAGATATTGTCCGCTTTGGCCTAAGAGCCTCACGGTTTTGTCATGTTGGTGTAACTTCCCAATATGTCACCCATCCAAGAATTGCTCTGGATGAGCATGCTTAACTACAAAGTTTCTTTTAAAAGTTCTAACCATTACACCAAAAAGAGCCTTGATGTTTAAAACTTGTCTTTCTTTTATTTAAGGGGTTTCACACTAATAATCTTGAAGCTATACTTAATCTTGCCTTTGAACTACTATGAAATTGCCTCCTTCGGACGATCATCAGATTATTGCAATAAGAGCATTGCTAGACCTTTGTTGTCAAAGCATTACCCAACCAACATATTTGGGCCCATGTTGCCTAAATACTATCCTCCAACCACCATTGCCCCACTCTAATCCTTCAACTCTTATCATCCAATTATGGTCTTGCAATCATCGCTGCTTGATTATGATCGTTTAATAACATTCACCAACGATGGTCCTTCAAACTTTGTTGCCCGATTATGATCCACTGACCAACATCGCCCTACTTTTGTCTTATGACCATCATCACCCAACTTCGATCCTCTAACCATCATCATCTGACTATGATCATTTAACATCTCTTTTTATGATTAGGCCATCCAATCACTTTTTCCTAACTTTGGTCTTCCAACTATTATCACCCTCCTATAATCCTCAGGCCAACATGACTTGACTATGGTTCTCCTACCATCATGCATCACCCAACTATAGTCGTTCAACCACCATCGCTTGACTACGATCCTTCAATCTATAATCATCTGACCATTATCACCTTGGTGCAGTAATGCTTGTTAACTTTGTCTCCTATTGTCATCAACATTATCAATTAATGTTGTTACCTATGAGGTCGATGCATCTTTAATACACCAATTTTAACTCCCACCAATTCTCCATCTATGATCTCCCCATTTCAAAGAGAATGATTAAATAAATAATAAACGAGTCTTTAATATAATTCTCACGCCACAACATTCTTACAACTTTCACCAGTAATATATTTCGTACAATTTGCATTTGCTATGTTGTATCAAGTATCAACACTTTTTCCCAATTTTGAGAAATGTCATCATTTATTCGATGTTTAACACTAATGAAATCATTTCAACTAGGCCATTTTCATTATTTTTTTCTTTAAAGAGTTCTTCGTACAAAAAATTTGGCATATTTTATAACTCTTCTTTAATATATATGTGTGATTGTTTGCTGAATTTGTGTGCAATATTAAGACAATAACACTCTTAACACTCTCTAGCTCTATGTTGTGAAAGTTTCAGGGAGTGTAAACGAGTTGAGTTGAATCGAGTAGTTGAGTTGAGTCGAGTAATGGCCTTATCGAGCTTGACTCGTTAGTTAGAAAGTAAGCTCGAACTCGAGCTTGTCTCACTGTAAATGAGCTCGAGCTGGCTTGCGAATCTTAGCAGGATTTTTAAAATTTAAGCGGGATTTAAAATACTTAAATTTAATAAATATGTTTACCATTTATTATATATATTTTTTATATTGTGTCGTTTATAATTTTTCAAAATTAACAAACATGATTAATAAATATAAATTTGAATAAAAATAAATAATTAAATATTTTATTAAAAGTTTTATATAATATTTCCGTCCAATCTCCACCGAATTCATCCGTAATTATCTCAAAGTCGTGGTAATCAAATCCCTAATCTCAGATAAAACCGTAATTAATATCAGTAAACCGCCCACTCGCACTATAAATATTCTGCCGAACCACTGCGTTCCTGTTCGCAGCCTCCTCAGCCGTCTCTTACCCTCTCACAGGCGGCTAGAAACTAGCCTATACCTCTCCACCTTCTCCACCTGTTCTCCTTTACCGTCAGACGCCGGGGAATGCATCGCGATGGGGAGATCTAACCGCGACATCGCCGGTAGACGAAAGCAGCACGACGGCCGGTCCTGCCACCGGAAGCACGTCGAGGACGGGTAGAACCTACCGCTTCTTCTCCGCCGCCGTTCCCACTCTCTAATCCACTTTCTTCACCAATCAATTTCCTTCGGAGTTTACCCATAAAAATGGAGGAACTAGATCTGACCTCGCCGACGGCCGAGGGGCGGAGCGTTCTCCATGGCCGATACGAACTGGGCCGCGTCCTCGGCCAAGGCACTTTTGCCAAGGTCTACGTTGCCCGCAACTTACGCACCGGAAAGAACGTCGCCATGAAGGTGGTCGACAAGGAGAAGGTTATCAAGGTGGGCATGACTGAACAAGTAAAGCGGGAGATATCCGTGATGAAGAGGGTCACCCACCCAAACATCGTCGAGCTCCACGAGGTAATGGCTACCAAATCCAAGATCTATTTCGCCATGGAGCTCGTTCGCGGCGGCGAGCTCTTCTCTAAGATCGCCCAATCTGGCCGTCTCAGAGAAGATGCTGCACGCTCCTACTTCCGGCAACTCATATCCGCTGTGGATTTTTGCCACTCGCGCGGCGTCTTCCACCGGGATCTCAAGCCGGAGAATCTCCTCCTCGACGACGCCGGTAACCTGAAGGTCGCCGACTTTGGTCTCTCGGCCTTCGCCGATCATGTCCGCGCTGACGGCTTACTTCACACCACTTGCGGCACGCCGGCCTACGTTGCGCCGGAGGTCATTGGAAAGAAGGGCTACGACGGCGCTAAGGCAGATCTATGGTCCTGTGGCGTTATCCTTTACGTCCTGCTCGCCGGATCCCTTCCCTTCCAAGACGATAACATCGTTACGATGTACAGGAAGATCCACCGAGGCGACTTCCGATGTCCCCCCTGGTTCTCTACTGACGCGCGCCGCCTCGTTACAAAGCTTCTCGATCCCAATCCCAGCACCCGCATCACCGTCGCTAACCTAATCGAAACCCCCTGGTTCAAGAAAAACCCCATTCCCAAACCGATCCTCTCCGAGCCACCATCGTCGCAAACCAAGAAAGAGGGGGAGGAGCCAGAACGAATGAATGCGTTCCATTTGATTTCTCTTTCAGAGGGGTTTGATTTGTCTCCGCTATTCGCGAGCGGGGAAACCCTAAGAGAGGAAGGGATTAGGTTTGCGACCAAGGGGCCAGCCAGTGAAATTGTATCAAGATTAGAGGAGCTTGCTGCGAGAGCCCCGGGGAAGCTCCGAGTGACGAAGAGCTCGGCGGCGGGGGTGCGTTTAGAAGGAGAGGAGCGTGGCCGGAAAGGGCGACTTGCAGTGGCCGCAGAGATCTTCGCGGTTGCGCCATCTGTGCTTGTGGTGGACGTGAAGAAGGACGGAGGCGACACGCTCGAGTATTTACGCTTCTGCTGCAACGACCTCCGGCCTGCGCTTAAGGACATACTGTGACAATCATCGGAAGCTCAGACTACCTCCGTCGCCTGAGCCGTCAACATCAGTTTCTCCGTCCAGCCTTGTGGTGTACAGTGAGTATTTGGTGTAATAAAAGGCATGGCTGGGAACAATCTCTGCGATTCTTGAGCTCCATGTTTGTTCTGTTTGGTTTGATGCTGGTTGTAATTTTTTTTTTGGGAAATTTGCTGGTTGTAATTGATTGTTAAATTTCGTGTGATTTATTGTCCAAGTTCTGTAATTTGAATTTGGATGTAATTCTAATATTCATATTAAGAAAATCGAATCATTTTTTTTTTTTAAATTTATCTTTTTTTTTGAACTACTAGTTCTTAGGGGCTGTGTGGTAGCAGGATTTAGCCAAACGCAGCAAATGGAAAATTCCGTCTTTTTGTGCTAAATTCTTGATTTTCGATTTCCTAATTTTCGTTGTTAGCTATTCGGCTCTTCTATAGCCAAATTGTCACATGAGATTTAATATGATTTATCATGAATATTATCAAATCGAGATTTTCGAAATCCAAATTTAAAAAATTTATGAAATCCTACTTAAATCAAATATTGGATGCTACCAAACAGCCTCTTAAGAGAACTTTTATTTGGTCAAGTGACCTGACGTAACTCTACATTTGAACGTTAGTAAAATAGTGCCACTTGTTCTTACTCTTTATGGCGCGGCCCGACAACCAGAGCCGGAACGGCCCCGAGATTGTTATGTTCGCGTATTGCTAGGTATTGGTCCATTTTATGATAGCATTATTTTTATTTTATTTTTAAGATCGAAATCCCAATTACGTTTAAAAATTTGTTATACTAAAAAAAATTGTTTTTTTGAAGCACATTTATAAAACAGTAAAAGAATTATCCTAAAAAAAATAGTGACATACTTTTTTCTTCCAAAAAAAAAAACAATTTACCTCTTAATTCAATAATTTCTCTTTAAGTAGACCCTAAACTCTTGCCTATATTTGCTTGGTTCTTGCTTCTCTAAATATTCTTGGACAATTGTGTATAATTTAGGGTTTTGGTCACCATCAAGCCATGGCAAATTTTATTTGAAATTCTCTTATTAAACAATATCTTCCAGACATGATTAGGTACATTAATGGCTCAGCTGAAAATTTAAAAATTTGTTACCGTTTAATTATTGTTCCTCTTCATTTCTGCTTAACCCTTCAATGATTGAATGGAAAAGACAAAAGGCAGCAGGCTGCGGTCACCTTACCAGTTCTGAACCTCTTTGTCGTTATACTAAATAGGGGACATCGATAGCCCTTGAAGCATTAAATTTTATCCTAGGACAGTTTGATTTGCTGGGTGGCTAAGCTAATTTTAGCTTAAATTTGATTCCTTCACTTAAATCATGAAGGAAACTATGAAATTATTATGCGCGGACACCAGAGAGTCCAGAAATAAATCAGAAAGAGCCACATCATCCGTTAAACAACGTTATCGAGCAAAAAAGTGACGTGACACATTCTGGTTGGTCTCCGGACGCCGTCCGATATTCGAACAGAATAATTTATCTCACAAAAGAATTGCAACCTCCTGAAAGATATGTTAGTGCTATACTAAGGAGATTAAAGTAGATTTAAAAGTTTATAAGATCTTACATTGTCATAAGAAATTATCAAGTGTGATTTGTGTGCTATTAGTTTTAAGTATATGCGATCATATAATTATGCATTCAATTGTGTATTCCACTTGATTGGAGTACATAATTTTGTACTTCAACTCAAAGTTGGAGTGCACATATGTGAACTATTTATGATTAGAGTATATTTTTTTACTTGGACCAAATTGATATGTAGTTCAAAATGCAATATTGAAGTCCCAATGCCTTAGGGCATCTCCAACCGAAGTTCTCATTTTTCACTGCAAAATGCAGTAAAATCAAAAAGTGTTGTGATTCATCTCCAGTGGAACGCCATTTTGCTCCCAAATCATCGCTCGTTTCTTTCGCGCCTTTCTCAGACGAGTTCGGTAGAGAGAAAGAAATGGCGCAAGTGAACAGTGCGACGATCGCAAATATTAGCGTTGCACTGTTCAACTGCGATCAAATGGCGGAGGAAATGACGTTCGGTTGCGACGTTTGAGGGCCTCCATTCGGCTGTTTGACGAACAGTTGGAGATGGTCTTACTCTTGAAAAGAAATTAGATGCAAGGAAAGACTACTACAGTCTCAGTCTTATTAGCTTTATTTGCATGGTGCTGATCTATTTAGTTCAAAATGCAATATTGAAGTGAGCCATTAATGTTTGAGCTATTTGAGCTAATGAGCCAAAAACGAGTGTAAGTTGATGCACCTTAGAGTGCATATGGACCATTAATTTATTGAAAATTATGCTAAAATCCGATTTGTGTTATTAGAAGACCGAAAATAACTTTTGAAATCCATCTTAAAGGTTCTTATTTCTCTAAAATATATCATAATATAGGTCGATATGCTTTCCTATGAAGAGCCATTTAAGTTCATACCTCATCTGATAGCATGAGTTTAAGGCTTCATTTGAGACGGTTTTGTGCAGCTTTCTAAAACAAATTTTTAGTACAGCTTTTTTTTTAACTAAAAAAAATAAATTTGTACTAAAAAACCGCTTCATAAAGAAGTAAAAAAGCTTTCCTAGGATAACTTTCTTACTATTTTTTTGAAGGAGTGCAAAAATTTTTTGAACTAAAAGTTTTTGTAATAAAAATCTGCTTTAGAAATAATAAAAATGCTATTTTCTTGTTGTTTTTTAAATCAACTTTCAAGTATAAGAAAATTTAGTTTAATAATTTTTTGTACTAAAAAATGGATTTACAAAGTGATAAAAAAGTTGTTCAATTTTTTTTTTAATAAAAAAATATTTTATAAAAACAATAAGAAAGTCATTTCAAACGAAGCCTAAATTTATATAAGCTAAGCTATTGTTACATTACCTATATATTTTGATGATTTTACTTATTGTACAATTTCTCGTGTTTATTTGAATAAATTTTTTAAAAAAAAGATATATCAATAGTTCAATAATTTTTATATATATAATTTTTTAATATGTTTTTCCTTAAAAGCCTTATATTGGATGATGCTAGCAAGCATAAAAATGCTAATGAGTGATATTTTTTCTTTCAATCCAAACAAAATTATTATGATTTCGTTTGGTACAAATTTCTTATTACTTTAAAGTATTTTTTAATACAAAATTTTTAAAAATTAAGAAAAAATAATTTAAAAAACTATCCCAAACAAAGCCTACTTTTTTCTTTATTTGCTTTGGACCAATTAGAACGACATAAAAATTGAACATCAAACTTCATGAAAGGCCAATTTTGGGATCAAATTATTTCAAATTTTTTTTGCATTCACAGTTTTAATTTGCTGAATAAATTTAGTAAAAAAAAATATTGAAAAACTTAATTTGCACATCACACCCTGTACAGACTACTTGAGACCATTTGCGAATTTACAAATAAATACTTTTATTGCACTTTTCCATGTGGCCTTTTTGTAAGATAGTGGGCCGCCAGACCATAACTTGTTGGTCCGACATGAAGCCCACATTATTTTTACCAAGCCCCAATTTATAGTTTTAGGCATTTAAATGGAGAGAAATAGAGAAATAGATATATATGTGCCTGCGATCTTAATGTCGGCCGAACGTATCTCTACGTATGTTTTGAATTATGATTTTAGCAATATAGAATTGACTATATACCTATCTTTATAAAAAAAAAATTAATTTGTTTTAGAATGTCTGACTTGTTAAAGTTGTTCGCCAAGCTCCTAAGAAGAGGCCAGCTTGCACTGTATTGATGATCGAATAGTCAAGTAGCCGATCCATAGTTTCCCTTAGAAAGTTGTCATTCCTTTAGTAATCTTTCTGTGTGATATTTAGATCAATTAAGGCAAACGAATACACGCATCACATACGTAAGAATCAAACTTAAGATTTCTTAGTTATCAGCAAAAACTTATAACCAACAGACTAAGATCAAATGTGTATCATTCATATAGTAATCTCTAGGGACACCTTTATTGATAGTATTATTCACTAAGGCCAATTGATAGGCGATACTTGCTAGAGTAAGACGAGTTCGAAGATCATAACCTTCTCTTGGAGGCAAGTTTTCGTCTAGACTGACGAGTTTTTCTTTTTTTAACTGGATTTAAGTAAATCGAATTAGCTTAACTCGAGCCAAATTGACTCAACTTGAATCGAATTTTTTACATATTTGGATATACATTAACTTTTTAAAAAATATTAGGTCAATTAAAAAAAAAATCAAGTAGGCTATAATGAATGAATTAATAATTCAATTGATGCATTTAAAGCAGGCACATGCTCTGCTAATTCTGCCGGATGGTCTTTCATGCTATGTCAGCCAAAGGTATCGTTTAACAGTAAAAAAAACAACATGTTCACATATTTATCAAATAATAAGTTAGAGATCAATCATTATTATTTTAAGAGATGGCTTTATTCAATATTATCTATATAACTGCAACATTAATGTCACACTGTTATTATTAAAACAATATTATCTATCAAATATGATGCATTTTTATTATGAAATTATTTTATTTTAAAATATAATATTATTTAAGGCTGATTTGAGTTCCTCATATTTTAAAACTATTCAAAATTATTTCTATCCAAAAGCCGGAAATGACTCTTTAATATTTATAGCTGAGAATGCATGTTCAGATGTAATTGTAACGATTGATAATATCAGAGCAAGCTTCATAAGTAAATATATTGAACATTATTATTTTCAATCTCCATTGATTTTTGTGCTATTATCCAACCTCTTTCAACTTATAAAATACATACATCGCTATTTTTATGTCGAGTTGATCGTAATATTTATAGTAGAGAATCAGTGTTCAGTTGTTACTGTAATAATTGATAATATTAGAGTAAGCTGTATAAGTAAGTACACGTAGAGATTAATATTATTCCTTTAAATCTCTGCTAAGGTTATGATGAATAATTCATGAAAAAAATCTTGTAATCTACAAAAGAAATAGATCCAATCATTTCTTGAATTTAGGGTTATAAATTATATATGTGAGGAAATCCTTGATAAGAGGAAGATCAAAGAAAATGCATCTTAAATTTTGTCCAATTAATGACCATAAATCATTAATTAAAGATTGATCT